TTCGAGCTAGATTATGGTGTAAGTTGATGAATCAAAACATTAATTCTTTACAATTCGAGCTTTTTACTTTCTTGCATTGTTTACAACTTAAGTGATTTTTTCATTTTTTTTTAAATAATGTATAGCAATTGAACTTGATATATTCATAGCTTGGATAGTGTATATTTTTTATTTTCTCGAGTTTGTGATTCTTTTTTGAAATAGAATTTTTTTTTCAGTGATGACTTAAGTGATTTTAAAGTTCAGTGACCCCATCAAAACTTCTTGTAAAGTTCAGTGATCATTTAGGTTATTAAATCCGAGTTGGTGTAATGGGCACATCCATGTGTGAAGCGTACTCGTTATATTGTTTTGAATACTTATTAATTTTAATTATATTTTAATTGAGGTCACCTTGTCATGCTGCTAGCAATGGCTCAATTGGGCTACCAAGTAATTCTGGTATCTTTAATTATGTTGAATTTCTGGAAGGTCGATTGGTCCTCTGTTCATACTTCTTTTCTTGTGGTGATATCGTCTATTTGGACCTTTTGGTACAATCTTCTCGATATTGACGGGATATAACAGATCATAATGGTTAATTTGTTATGATTGGAAAAGAAGACTAATAAGCAAATTTGAGTTTATTCTGCAAGGGTTAAATTGAAAAGCATTTTCTTGGATAAAAATTTTATTCTATGCCGTTAAAAAAACGAAGAGTTACTTTCTTGGATAAAAAATTTATCCTATGTCTATTGATCTATGAACATTTAAAATTTTTAAAGGAATTATCATCGATATTCTATCAAAGAGGAAAGAAATAAAGTAACTGATTCGTTAGTTACAAAGGGAAGAGAGTGATGCTGCTTTCAGGAGTATGGTGCTCTTGAGCTATCTCAAGTACTTCGCATTTGTACCATAGTATGATTGGACTAACAAGTCATTTCTCTCAAGTTTAGATGCCTATAGGATTTTTGGTTTCCTTTTTCACATTTGTACCGGAGGTATTACTCATATATTGCTTTCAATATTAATAAAAAAAAAAAAAAAGGGGATGGGGTCCTCAAGGTTGGAGTTCAACCTGCTTTCAATATTTATTTCTTTGACTAGAGGTTCGGCATATGCCCATTCGTTGTATTCATTTGTTTTCATCTATATTATGGTAAGAGAATCTTAGCTCCTCTTCTTGTCTTGGTGGAAACTGGAAACTAAAAAATAAATGGGGACTATGTTGGTGCTTTATTTAAAAAAAAAAAAAAAAAAAAAAATTTTTCAAAAAAATTTTATTTTTTTTTAAATTGCCACATATATTGGTGCTTAACATTAGTAATGATGAATAACATATCTCTACATCTATTACAATAGAGAGAGACATAATTAATGGTGATGATAGTTGGGTTGAGACGGCCTTTACAGTATGTCGACGTTACCTAAAGGCAATAAGACGTTAAGAGCGTTGGGGTTCAACCTTTTTTTAATAAGACGTTAAGAGCCACTAAAAATTCGACCCAACCTAGACTTTTAGCAAGCCAAATGGGCTCTTTATGCAACCCAGTGAACTCGGCTCAACTCAGTCGATACCGCTAGATATAAGAGTTATCCATGTCATGTACTTTCTTGCACAGAATTCTGTTGCATTGAGACCTCTGATTGTGAGATGCAAATTCATCTGCTAAACTACTTGATCTCATAACATTACAAATTCTGTTTCAAAGTATGAAAACTCTTTCTTGACATTCAAAAATATGAGGAAAAACAAAAAGAGAAGTGATCGCCAAAAAAGAAAAAAAGAAAAAGGACATATAGAAGTCTTCTATTTGAAAATGGGATTAGACAAAAAAAAAAAAAATAATAATAAATAAATAAAAAAATAAAAAAAAATCAAATTTTCTCTCATTTTCTTTTAATTTTCTTCCATTTTTCTTTTTCTTAATATGAAGTGTGTTGTAGGAGCACATTTTCAAAAGAAACCTTAATATTGAAGAAGTTGTAGGGAAATGAGACGAAGTTATACGACATGATATAAAGTATTAACGATTTTGCTAGTGGTACATCGAGGTGTACCTAATGGTGTACACTTCACTCACATGGGCAAGGGACCCACTCGAATAAAATATCATTTCTTTCACATGGGTCCCACACCCATGTGAGTGGGGTGTATACCATTCGGTACACCTCATTATGTACAACTAGACAAATTCAAGTATTAATCACAACAATAAGATGAACACAAAGATAAGAATTTAATTTGATAGAGAAATTGGAGATTTTATTCAACAACTATCATGGAGAGAAAATGCAATAATTGTGTTCCTATACAATGACTCTAACTTTCCATAATTATCTAATTGTAAAGAAAGGTGTACTATTCATAGGGGTGCATGTCAAACTCTAATAATAGCTCAAAAGATGGAAAGTATATCAAACGCATGTAAAATGAAAAAGGAGAAAAAAAATCTGATGGTTCGTCACTCGAGCACTGGCCTCGTGCTAGGCGAGCGTCAGTAGTGCTACTCAAGCGGCCCTCTAGGGGTAGTTGAGCAAAAGGCTCTCTGCTCCAAAATTCGTCCCACTGCTTGAGTAGTGGGTAGGGGCAGGCTAGAGCCATGTCACCTAATCTTCTTCTTGGACCTTATTTTGTTATCTTCGAGCCCATACTTCAAATCACGCAACCCCTTATCTAAATTTGAATCACAAAACCAAACAATCTTCACCTCGACACATTCCACTACTACGATCATGTCTCCAAAATTTCTCCACCTGGAGAAAAAATCAAACTATAAAGAATGAACTGAACTCTTCAACAATAACTAAACTAACTTATCCAAAAAACTAAAAATAGTCTACCTCTTCCACAATATCCAACTATGATACATGAATCCAAGCACTACTCCATAAAATTACTTTGGGTCCAACCCAAAAAATCAAATAATGATTTTAAAATCGGCCAAAACATACCTTGAAACAAAATCTAAACTAAATGCTTTTGTAGAAACTAGAAAGCCCCTTGCTAGTTTGAACATCTGCAAATACGCTTTAAGCATGCGCAACAAAAACAGTTTTCCAGTACCTTTCTTCAATGGATCTATCCATAGCAATTACATAAGATGACACTATAGGTGATGGTGGTAAATTGGCATTACCAATATCCACTAACCCCGATCGAGCTGTATTCTTCAATACGGACCCTAAACTAAATCCCAATGATACTATACCAGACTGAATAGCCACCACGGTACTAAACCTTTGCTGATTAATCTTCTTAGATTTTGCATGATCTTGCAAGATGTATAATTGGGAACTATTCTATCTCTCCAATAGAACTCGTGCACCCTTACAAACATTCAAAACTCCATTTCCACCAAAAAACTTATAACCCTTTCAATCAAAAGTAACTAATGAGATGGATTCTTCTTCAAATCTAAAACATGTTGAACCTGACCAAGTGTTTTAGCTATCCCATTCAACAACTTCAATCTGACTTTACCAATACCAGCTACACGACAAGGTGGTTGTTCAAAATTGTTTCATATGTTACAAACAGATCCCAATTGAGACATATATGAAAGGCACAAGTTAGAATCCAATCCTCGTTAAGATTGGAGTTACCGTTACAAATAGCTAGTACATATCCATCGCTCAAATAATTCTCTATGACATTAGCTTCACCTGAAGTATCTGATTCCTTTCTTTCTAATTTGTAGCCAAATTTACTTTGTCTGCAACTTGTTACAATTCTGCTTAATGTGCCCATTTTTCTTGAAATAAAATAAACTCGATTATTGAAATAGGATTTTGACCTACCGATTCAATGACCAAAATGAACAATAAGGCCTTGTCCATCTCTAGCCTCAAATCCAATTAGATATTTCATCTTCTCCTTTTAAAACAAAACAGCATATGCATCTTTAATGATGAAAGTATCACGACTATACAAAATTGTGTCTCTAAATGAAGTAAACGAAGCAAACAATAAACACGAAAGAATGAAAGCTAAATCTTCTGTATCATACTTTACCCCTAAGTCTCCAAACATCGATGATTTCCTTAAAAACAACCAAAATGATCTTCCAATGATCTGTCTTCTGTTATGCGATAAGAATACAACCTTGACTTCATGTGCAATTTACTTGTCAAACTCTTAATCATGTAGAATTACTCCAACTTCGACCACAATGTTCAAAACTTTCTTAAGAATATTATTCGAAAGATGAAAACAAATTTGTAAAAGAAACTTCTGATCCTTCCATTGTTTCTCCTCCGTCGTCCAAGTTGTGGACATCTTATCAAATTCCAGCAACGCATCATCCAAATCCATCTAAGTGAGTACTACATCATCTCATGCCACAACAAGAATCGTGTAGTGCGATCCAAAAGTAGAATGTTATAATTCAAGGTTGACATCAATAACAAGAAACCTCGAAAAAATCAAACCAAAGCTCTGATACCATTTAATGAGAATTTGGACGAGATTATATGGCATGATATGAAGTATTGATCACAACAACAAGAAGAACACAAAGACAACTTTAATTTAATAGAGAAATTGGAGATCCTATTCAACAAATATAATGGAGAGAATACAATAATTGTGTTCCTACAATGACTCAAACTTTCAGTAATTAACTAATTGTAAAGAAGAGTCTACTATTTATAAGGGTACATGTCAAACCCTAATAATAGCCCAAAAGATGGAAACTATGTCAAAAACACGTGTAAAATGAAAAAGTAGAAAAAAATTTGAAGGCACTCTACTCAAGTGTTGGGCTAGCGCTAGGTGAATGCTAACAGTGTCATTCGTGCGACCCTTTAGTGATAGTCGAGCGGAAGGCTCCCTGTTCCAAAATCCACCCAACCGCTTGAGCGATGGGCGGGTGGTAGGCTAGCACCATTGTGCCTATTTTTCTTCTTGGACCCTAATTTGTCATATTTAAGCCCAATAATCCAAACCACGCAAACCCTATTGTTAATTTGGATCACAAAACCCAACAAAAGTCACAAAAAATCTTTTGGATAATTAGTAATGGAATCGATTCTGCTTCATCATTTAAATTCAATAAAAGAATACAAAAAACAAGAAACATTATTGTATCTCTAGAATACATGCACAAAATGTAGATTACAGAACTGTCTTCTAGGAATGTAAAATATAACCATAGTAGAATAATGACATTCCCAAAAAAACCAAAAACAGAAATTGATGTCAAAGTATGACTAACATGAGAATGGCCATTTACATAAGCATTAACCCATTTATTCCCTAGTGGCACTTGACATCATCCTTAAAGCATCTGCATTGAAGTAATTGCGATGATCAATTTCAGAAAGAATAATTTGATTAAAGTTATTAAAAGTGCTTTACTTGCAAAATATTGATTGTAGAAGATTAAAATAACTATTTTCACTGTTAACAATCATTATAATAATTCTTTCGTTATTCTCAATTGCTAATGTCATAGTTGATTTTAGTACTCTTGCAAGGTCGTGTTTTGCCAACTCTATCGATCTATGTACTGCATGCTTGGCAAAGCTTAAAAATGGGTAAGTTCCAAAATGAACACTTTTTTGGTCGGTCAAAATTGTAAATAAGGAAGTACTTCCATGAATGCATACAATCACTTATACTAAAATAATCATACTTACCTTTATAAACACAACTAATGGCCTTGCATAGATATTCTTGATTTGAATCTTCATGGAGTTAATTTCTCTGGAAGTGGAACAACTGCTTCAAAAGCTTCAACAAGCATTGATACCCTTCTTTTTCGAGCAGGAATTAGTTTCGTGACAATGTGTTGAACTGCATAGTCTAGCATCCATTGCTCGGCCTTTTTTCTCTCATCCATCATTTGATGCCTCAAGTCAGCTTTCTCTTGTTCGGTGTCAGGCATAACCGAGAGGTGTCGTGGTGGTTGCAGGTTAAGTTTCCTTACCTGCTCTAATGCTTTTATGAATCTCCTGAGGAGGATTAATTTTTTCAGCTTGCTCCAGTTCTTGGATTTCAGTGACTCGGGTTTTCTGGCTGACTTTTGTTTCTGGTCCTCTTGACCAACCGAAATTCCACCTTCACATGTGGTACATTGTGTCGTGTTTTCTTGGTCTAGACTTTCTGAGATCTCCTGGTCTGGAATAAAGTCACTTATAACTGAATGTGTATCAGATGAGTCATCTTGAACTTCTGGAAGAAGGATCTCATCAACTGCCTCTTGTACAAGTTTGACTGCATCAGTTTTGGTGAATGCACCATTCAAATGGCTAGGAATACGGTTTTCCTTGCCCTGGTCATAACCAGATTTTGGGAAATAATCACCGTTGCTTATTTTAGACAATTCATTGCAATCTTCTACTTCATCATCGTCTGTTCCATCAAGAAGTTGGCTTCCAACTTTTGCAGCAATACCTGATACCACATGCTGATATATCGAATGCCACATTCTGATATAGTTTTGTCTTTCCAACTGGATATTGTGTGACCCATTTTGTGCCTCTGATTTGTTAACTTCTTGAAATACTCTGATTTCTGGTGCAGCATCTTGGTAGGCCTCAACCCTTGCCATCTTTTCTGGCTCAAGTGTACCACAATGATTAGCAGACACAATAGTATCCTCAGTTAATAAATCATTACCATCTATAATCAGATTTTTGGATTCAACGCTTCTGTAATCTGGATTGGTCTCTTTGTTCCCAATGGTCCGGAGAAAATTACAAGTGGGAAACTCGGAGTTTAAACAGAACCGTATCCTCTTGAATTCCCTGTAAATTGTGTTTGAGTGCTGTTTCACCACTATCAGATTTCAATTCAACTATTTCTTTAGCCTCTTTGTCTTCGTCGTTTTCTTTACGAACAGTCTCGCCCACTTCATGGGTAATGCCAGCAAATTTTTGGCTATTATCTTCATTCGGTGTAACCACTGTTTCAAAGGCTTTTACAAGCAAAGACACTTTTCTCTTCTGAGTAGGGGCAAGCTGACTGATTGCTTGGCGCAGTGCATAATCAAGCATCCATTCCTCTGTTTTCTTCCTCTCGTCCACTGTTAGAGGCCGCAAGTTGACTTTTTCTGAATCAGGTTCAGGCTTCAAAGGCAGATGTTGTGGGATCCTTGGATTAAATTTCCTCACTTTCTCTATTTCTTTGATGAATCTTTGAAGTAAAATCCATTTCTTAAGATTACTCCAATGTTTTGGTGCTTTCTTCTCGGATTTGCTTCCAAATTTTTTATCAATTTGTACTATCTCTTGACCAGAAGTATCAGTATCGACGACACTTACCTCTTTCATATCAGCTGGTGCATTGCCCTTCCCCTTATCCAGCTCACATTCTCTGGAACTTTCTTGTACACCGCCTGTGGAAATGTATATCATTAGTATTCTACCTGTAAGTTTGAAAAGGAAAATGAAAGCCCATCCACTCACAATCACACGCCCACGCGCATGTACACACACTCTTATAAAAATATAGAGATACTTCCCCACCTTCGTCTTGATTCTTTTCAAAGAGTTCGTGTTCATGAGTAGTCTCGCTTGCGGTTGACTGATTATCGGATGTCTGGTCGTGAACTTCAGGAAGAAGAATCTTCTCAATTGCTTCTCGGACTAGCTTGACTGCAAAAAGCTTGCGGACTTCAACATCTTGAGTTTCACGGTCACAGTTCACTATACCCACATCGGAAAAATCCTTGCGCAATTGTGAACTTTCTTTTGCAGGCAATACATTAGAACCATCACCACCGTGAAACGGCTGGTTTGCAGACTCTGCAGCCATACTTTCTGCCATATGTTGATGTATCAAGTTCCATACACTGATATGCCTAACTTTGCTGAACAAAGGTTTGTTTTCTTCATGAAAATGAGTATTATCTGAAGATGGTGAGATGGCCTTGTTATTTTCTATAACTTCATCAAAATTGTCTCGAGTTAATGCATTCAACATGTTAGATGGCATAAAATCACATTCTCCTCGACTGGAAGTTGTAGTATCCTTAGTTTGGGCACTGATTTGTTCATCTAGTTTCAAAGAAATGGCAGATGCATTTGAATCAGAAAAATCAGCAGCTCCACTTTGACGGGTCTCATGATTGTACCCATCCCCAAGATTTGAGTCCGGAACTTGAGGGTGTGGGAAATCTACATGAGCAGTTCTCTTATACTCATTTGGTTGTCTTTTGATGCAAGAGCACTTCAAACAAACAATTCCTTGCCCCTGTATAACATAATTCTTGACTCCTTTCAGACTCTCCTTGTAACTTTCCTCAGGGTATGATGTTTCACCAAATGCAATTTCGACAAGATCAGACTCTTGAATACC